AGCATTGTGGACTGGGTGAAGTGTCTCACGGGTGGGACATCCCTCTCTTGGTTTGTTCTTTTAGAAAATCGGGGAAGGCTTTATCACAGATCTGAGCCAGCTGAAGAAGTTACTGGATTTCATCAATAATGAGGCTTTTATCAGGGATGTGGCGAAAGTCAAACAGGTAATATGCACTGGAGGTGGGGTTGGGGGAAGAAGGCTAAAGGCACCGTGCTCCCAGGAACATCCCAGCAGCGAGCGCTCACTTCTGACACAAGGCCTGGGAACCCACGCCTGTTCCTCATCAGATTTTCTTGCCAGGAGAACAAGCTGAAGTTTGCAGCCTACCTGGAGGAGCAGTACAAGGTCAAGATCAACCCTTCGTCCATGTTCGATGTTCAGGTCAAGCGAATCCATGAGTACAAGCGGCAACTGCTGAACTGCCTGCATGCTATCACCCTCTACAACCGTAAGTGCTGCCTGGGCTGGTAGGCAAGGGGTGTCCCCCCAGCCTGTCACTGCCAGGGTTCCCGTGTAAAAGTATGCCAGCTGGTGGCCAAGGACTCCTGAGTCTAGCTCTGCCCTCCTGTCACGAAGGGCTTCTCTCCAGGAGGGAAGACAGAGTGTCTGAAGGGTTGTACAGAGCTCTGAGGAAAAGCTCACAGCCCATGTCTCCAGCCCAGCTGGGTCCCAGGGCCTAGGTAACCCCCACACCTGTACTGCAGGTGTTAGGACTGACCTGGTGCAAGTTAAAACCCCACTTCCCAGTGTATGCTTCGGGCCCCTGCCCATGCCCGAAGGGAGGCAAGTCATTGGAGCTCTGCATTGTGCTGGCTCGAGTAGTTCTCCGAGGACTTTGCAGCCCATTTTTGCCCAGCACAGCTCCAGCAGATGTCTGGTTGGGCTTCAGGGTCCTGCAAGTTTGCTGGGTCCAGGTGACATGGGCTGGGATCCCAGCCCACCTCTGATGCATGCAATAAACTCTGTCCAGTTTTTCTTCGCTTCAGTTGTGTTATGCCCTGCTCTTTCAGGCATCAGAAGCGATCCGTCCAAATCCTTTGTGCCCAGGACTATTATGATCGGAGGAAAGGTAACGTGCGTTCAGGACTCGGTGCATGCCTGGCTCAGTGGGGATGTGGGGAAGGTGCTGTCCCCTTTCTGTGGCTTTGCCAGGCCCGCTGTAGGTTAGCCAGCGTGTGTCTGCTGGTGGGCTCTTCATGAAACACCTAGACAAGAAAAATGAGACTTCTTTATCCCCATTGAAATAATTTGGAAAAGGGTGGTTTTGCTGATCCATGTGAACAGCAGAGGTGAGGCCCAGATTCTCCCCGTGGTGAGGACCCGCACTAGCACCTCTCATGCTCTCCCGTCCTTAAAAGCCTTCGTCATTTATGGGCTGCTCTTCTTCAGGCAGCCCCTGGCTACCACATGGCCAAGATGATCATCAAACTCATCACGTCCATCGGTGAGGTCATCAACAACGATCCCTATGTGGGGGACAGGCTCAAGGTCATCTTCCTGGAGAACTACCGGGTATCCTTGGCCGAGAAGGGTACGTCTGGTCTTGTGTAAGCACACCTCAGGAGCTGGGCATGTCCCAGCTGAGCCCAGAAACTGGCTAGCCTGAGAGGCTGTCATGGCAGGTCACCTGGCTCTCCCTTTGGAAGGGCCTGAGGGCTCCACACAGGGCAGGAAGCCAGCTTCATGCAGGAGTGACAGCAACCGCATGGGGTTGTGGCAGGGCTGAGCCTGGCTCTGGCCCCAGAGCTGTGCTGGTTGGGCTGAGGTTGAGGTCAGCAGGGCCACTAGCAGATGCCCAGGGTTGGTTTGCTGTCCTGGGCCCAGGTCATTGGGGAGCTGCAGTGTGCCAAGGATTAACTCCTGCCTCTCTTGCACCTGGCAGTGATCCCGGCAGCAGATCTCTCCCAGCAGATCTCCACAGCCGGCACGGAGGCCTCGGGTACTGGTAACATGAAGTTCATGGTGAACGGGGCCCTCACCATTGGTACTATGGATGGAGCCAATGTGGAGATGGCTGAGGAAGCAGGCGAAGAAAACCTCTTCATCTTTGGCATGCGGGTGGAGGACGTGGAGGCCCTGGATCGCCAAGGGTTGGTGCTGGAGAGACCCCAATGCTTGCCAGGGCTTGTCAGATGGGGATACAGGTCCCAGCTCTGGTAGGGAA